CTGATGACACCCAGCTCTACCTCTCTTTTTCAACCGATCCAGGTGAGGCAGTGGCTGTACTGAACCGGTGCCTGGCCGAGGTAATGGGCTGGATGAGGGCCAATAAACTGAAGCTCAATCCAGACAAGACAGAGGTCCTGTTGATGGGTGGATCGAACTCCTGGGTAGGTGACTTGGACCTTGCCCTGGATGGGGTTGCACTCCCTCTAAAGGACAGGGTCCGCAGCTTGGAAGTGCTCCTCGACCCGGAGCTGTCCTTGGAATCTCAAATGACTGCGGTGGCGAGGAGCTCTTTCCTTCAGCTTCGGCTAATCCATCAGCTGCATCCCTACCTGGAGGACGACTGCCTAGCGACAGTGACACATGCATTGGTTACTTCCTGGTTGGATTTCTGCAAAGCACTCTACGTGGAGCTGCCCTTGAAGACAGTCCGGATACTTCAGATGGTGCAAAATAGAGCAACCAGGTTGCTGACGAGGACTGGGCATTATTCTCATATAACCGCAGTCCTCTATCAGCTTCACTGGCTTCCCATTGGAGTCTGGGCTCAATTCAAGGTACTAGTTATTACCTACAAAGCCCTAAATGGCTTGGGACCAGGATACCTAAAGGAAGGCTTTTTTCCCTATATGCCCTCCCGCCCCCTGAGATCGGCAGCAGAAGCCCTCCTCTGGGAACCCTCTGTGAAAGACATTAGGAAACAGAGTACCCGGAGGAGGGCTTTCTCTGCAGTGGCACCCGGTCTATGGAATGCACTCCCTAGAGAGGTCCGCCTGGCGCCATCGTTATTTGTTTTTCAGCTCCAGGTTAAGACCTTTTTATTCCAGCATTATTTTAATAACTTTTAATATTGGTTCATATATGTTTTTTAACTGCAGCCAGTGTGGGTCTGTAATTCATTCGTGTTATGTTTTATATTATTTTATCTATGTAAGCCGTCCTGAGGCCTTCGCGACAGGACGGCATATAAATATTCTAAATAAATAAATAAAGTTGATATTTGCATTTGTTCCTGTGGGTGAAGAATAGATTGGGGAGCAGTTTTAAGAAATCTGGTCTGAAGGAAGGCAGACACTAAGAATGGCATTAAAATGGTACTTTAATTTACCGTATTTTTCGCTCTATAAGACGCACCTGACCATAAGACGCATGTAGTTTTTAGAGGAGGGATCCGTGGAAAGCTTCCTGATAATCACAGGCACATTCCCCATCACTTCCCCATGGGCTTCATTAAAAGACGGGTTGCCATTTGAAAACACACACCGACCTGTGATTAACAGCTCTCACCTGCGCCGGAGGAGGGGGGGCGGAGCAGGGTGTGCCGAGCGCGTGCCAGCCAGGTGTGGTGCAGCCGGGCCGGCAGCGTGCTGGCGGTGGTCTTCCGGGCGACGTGGCAGCGGCAGGTCTTCCCGGGCGGTGGGGGTGAGCAGTCCGTCTCTCCGTGAGGCCAGCAGGTTAAAACCCGCAGCTGCTCCTCCTCCGCGGCACAGCTCTCACCTGCGCCGCAGCGGGGACGGAGAAGGGCGCGCCGAGCACGTGCCGGCCAGGTGGTGCCATGTGGTGCTGGCGGGCCGGCAGCGTCCCGGGCGTCGGGCACACACACATTCGCTCTATAAGACACACAGACATTTCCCCTTACTTTTGAAGGGGAAAAAAGTGCGTCTGATAGAGCGAAAAATACAGCAACTTAAGATGCAGTCCTTTGCGTATAGCTGACTGGGGAATCCTGGGCAACACAGGCCTATTTTAACATGCACCCAATTTTGCCTTAAGCTGTCTCAAGCTGTTCTCCAAAAGTTCTTATGGCAAAAAAATTAGTTTGACTTAAGCTTTCATGAATTATAGCTGAGTTTATGCTAGAATGCAATTGTTTATGTTATAATCCCCCAAGAAACTCACTTGTTTTTGCTGCAACAGATGAATGCAGACACCCTCCAGGATATATTTGACATGTACCATCTTCCCCTTTTGTAAATAATCCCCTTTAATAAATATATTATTGTTGTTCATTGTGCAGTGTTGTCTCTTATGAAGGCATTATCTCATCCCTACCCCATAAGTTCCAGGCTACCAGCTTATTTTAGGTATAGAGGATTTATTTTGGTAGCAGAGGTTAAAAGCTGTGTGGCTGAGGCAACATTTCCTAACAGTGAAACCTTGTGTGGAAACTTTATTGAAAACTGTGGCAGTGAATTCCATATACCCAATCCAAAAGTGTGTGTGTGTGTGTGTGTGTGTGTGCGCGCGCGCACGCGCGTGCATTTGTTTGTTTTTTAAGGAAAGAAAAAAAGGCAAGTGGAACAAACAAATTGATCCAGTGCATATGGTAGGAATAGTCTTCAGTGCTTCTCTTACATGAGATTTTAGAATATTCTCGCTGATCAGGATTTTCAAAGAGCATTTATTGATTACTCCAGCATGTTACTAGAACAGGCCCAGAAACACAGAACTCTAGAGCTAAACCCAAGCCTACAGGAACTTGTATTTAGGCACATACTGGAAAATTCAGCATAACTTGAGAATTCCAAAATGTGTGACGATAAAAGATACATTAGATCACTCATCTTAATAAGGAGTGAGAAAGAAATTATACCGAGAGCCTTCCAGAGATGATTTTAAAAGTTTTTCTCACGGCTTCAACCTTTCCAGAAATTTTACATCTCTGATCTTAGATTACAGAACTTTTTGGCCAACAAAGTCCCCAAAGTTGAAGTTCTAAATATGTATGCCTTGCCTTACTATTCTATCCATTATTTTAGAAGAAAATACTTTATGTCCCCCTTTTTCGATACAAATTCAAAAAATCGTTCTTGGAAAAGGTATTTGAGGATCTTTCCCCAGGACTTTGCATCCATAGTCAGAACTGAAGAAGATACCATGTTGATTTCCCTTTGACAAAGCTTCTTCTTTCAATATACTCAATAATCCTAGATTTAATCATGCTTCTGCTAATTTACCTGTCTACATATAAAACTAGCTGAATTTTCCTTGCTCCCCCAAGATATGCTTTAAAAACAAATGTTAACATTTACTGCTTTCCCAAGCCTCTAGGAAATAGGTCGATTTATGAGGGGAAGGGCCTTCTCAGTTGTGGCACCGTAACTATACAATTGGCTCCCCAGGGAGGTGCACCTGGCACCCACACTTTATACATGTCGGCACCAAGGAGAAATCTTTTTATTCTTCCATTATTTCAATTGTCGAATAAGTTATGATTTTATATTGGTTTTGATAGGTTATGATTTTATATTGGTTTTGATTCAGATGATGATTAGCTCATGGTGGATTAATTGTTTATTGTGTTAGGTGTTACTACTATTTTATGAAATAGTATTTTATCTGCTTGTTTAATTGTTGATTAGTGTACCCGATTTTTTATGATTATTGTGGATATGTTAATGGTAGCATGTTTTCAGTTGTTTTAAATGATGGTACACCATTTTGTTGCTAAAGAACAGTCCATCGAAGTTATAGACAAGCAAATAAATAAAATTTTAATGACAGTAGATATTTTGTTAGAAAGTCTCCAGTTCCAGACCTAAGTTCTTGGAATAATTCTTGGGTATGTGCTATGCCAGTTCTGAAATCAAGGGGGAACTGCTTTGCAACAGTGCTGGTAAAGTCACCCTAAAGAACTCGGAGGCAAAAATAATTCTGCTCCAGATGTTCCACATCTGGGGCTGTTGTGGCAGTGAAACCATGACACCAGTAGCTGACAGGGTTTCTGGAAGGGAATCATTTATGATGGTATTAGCAGGGTCACTTTCTCAAGGGCAGGTGATAGATGATTTTCGAGAGCTACACGCAAAAACCAAATATTCTACACAATTAAAATTGCCATCAAAGTTAAGCATTAACACAGTAAAATCAAAAGGCATCACAACTATTTCAACCGCCTGAAAAACTATTTTTAATATTAAAATGTCTGGGCATTTGAAACAAAAACAAACATTTTAAAACTTGTCTAGTCTTTCTGAGTGAACTGTGATAGCTAATTTCAGGGAAATGGTTTTATTTTTCTCCAGTGGAAAGTGTTACGCTGCATCTTATTGCTTTAAAAATATTTTTAGTTCCTCTTTTGCATTTTAATATCCAATTTTATTGTTTTGCAGCCTGCCCAGGGAACAGATGGTGATGATGGTGTGTTTCATTTCTATATTGTCCAAGAGCTGAAGCTATTAAAAGGCCATAAAATCTTATCAAAAAAAGAAACACACAAAATTAGGAACAGCTAAGAACTGTCAGTGAAGAATGTCCCTGTTTAAAAATAAAACCCTGAGATGGGTAATGTCCTCAAATCCCTTTGAAGCTTTCAAAATCCTCAGCATTGGCATAAAGGGCCACCTTTTTCTGCACCAAGAAACTTGGAAGAGGTGTGTCCAAGGATTGCGGGGCCAAGCCGAGGGCGTCTTTATAGATTAAATCCAGCCCCTTGAATTGGTCTTGGAAGCACACAGGCTTCAAGAGGGCCAGAACCAGACTTACGTGTTTGGACACAGAAGTCCCAGTTTCTGGTCTTGCTGCTATATTCTGCATGCGCTGCAGCTTGCACCCGTGGGTCAAAATCCCTGGTGTATGCGCGCAGCATGCACCCAGCTCAGCGGGAATCGAGCGCCTTGCGCCCACTTCCACGTCATGCTCAGAAGCCTTTGTTTGTGCTACACTTGACATGGCGCACAACGTGGAAGAGCTTTGCTGGTTGCCCAGG